CCATTTCATTTTCTCATCTCTGGAAGCTCCCTTTGAAGGGAGTGTAATTTGTCTAATTGCTCTGGCAATCCACAGCAGCTGATGGTGGGAGTAATGGGGAGGGAGGGGGGCAGCTCTCCACTCTAATTGCATTGAGCCTAGAACTCAGAGTGGTTATTGGGGGAATTTCTGTTGCCTTCTCACTCATATACAAGGTGGGAGGGGCATATTTAGATTCTAGCTTTACTTTCTACCTGAAACAATTTGGAGTTAAACTTAAACCTAACCATTTTTTTGTGGTTAGGTAAAAAACACCTAACTGTATATTACTAGGTAGTACTATAAACAGGCCAGATGTGTAGACAGAGATAAAGAGTCCAACGTGCAACATATCAACATGCAGTTCTTCAGCTCCAAGCAGCCCATTTCTCTTTTGCCTTGTTGGATTTCAGCAGAGCTGGTCTTCCCTTAATTGCCTGCATGAAGTCACTAGCCAATTACCCTAAAGGCAAAAAGGAGGGTTTGTTTGTTTGTTTGGTTTGGTTTTTTTATAAAAACATTCTGCTTTTCATGGTCGAAATAATTTTATTTATCCAGAATATACAGTTTAATTCCTCTATCTACACTTATTTACATGGTTAAAATAACAATGAAAAAAAAGTCTTTTGAAAAGTTGAGGTCATAGATTTCAAGGCACCATTGATAGTGTCCACAGTTGCGCAAAAAAGTTTTCTGTAAAAAAAGGGGGGAGGGAATCCTTTGAAATGCAATAACTTACATGCAAAAAAAAAAAGCTTTACACATGAATTTGTGTGTTTCCATTTTCCAAACTTCCCCATATGAATTCTTTCTTTATGATTTTCTAAAACAGCAAAATAGTCTCCAAAATGCGCAAAGCAAGCGGCCGGTCTAATAGAGTGTCCCGGAGGCGAGTGCCAGTGGGTGCTGTAAGGAACCGGGCGGTGGCAGGTGGGAATTGATTGAGCTGGCTGTGCTCGGGTACCAGGAAGCCGAGTTCTCCAGGTAGCTGGACGCAGGGGACGGGTTGGAGGTCGGAGGGTGGGCATGAGGGTGGTGGCTGAGCGAGCGGGACGAGCCCTGGGGCTCCCACACCGCCGGAGACTGCGGCGAGTTACACGCCATGGGGTCGCTGGAGCTGGGGCTGTGCTCCGGGGGCATCTCCCCGTTTTTCATGATCTTCTTGATCTTGGATCTTTTGTTCTGAAACCAGATTTTCACCTGGTGGGGGAACAAAGGCACACGTTACCGGGACACTCAGACGTAGCCCGCGCCTTGAGTTGCGGCAGGAGACAATTTCTGGGCCCAGAGATGCCGGGACCTGGTAAAATCCCTGCAACTCGAGGCTTCTGGCCCAGGGACTGGGCCTGGGGCCCAGCCTCACTTTGCAGGCTCCGTAGGCTGGGGCGGCCTCCAGGGCCATACCCCTAAAGCTTTGGTCTTTTGTTTGGGCTGGGGGAAGGGAGCCTAGAGCTTCCTGTGTGCGCCTGACAGTTGGCGGCAGCCTGCATGACCGCAGAGGCCGGCCCTGGGCCCTAGGAACCCGGCGCCACTAGGGGCTCCCAAACAATGGCTGGAACCCGGCCCCGGAGGGGGTGAGGGGGAATACGACGAGGGGGAGCGCCAAGGCGCGAGCGGGTGGCGAGAGAGGCGGGATCCCATTCAAGCACTATCACTCCCACCCCTCCTCCAAGAGGCCAGAATCCGCCTGCGACTCTAGGTAACCCAAGGATCAGGCTTACTCTTTTAATGGCCCCAGCCGGTGTGGAGTTGGAGTACCGGGAGTCAAACAATCCGGGAAGATTTCCCCGTAAAACAGCGCCCCCCAACCCAACGCTCGCTACCCTTCAGTTTCTCTGGCCGGAGGCAACATCCTGGCCTTTGCGTGGCCTGAGACCTCGGCTAGGCCGCCTGGCTTGCTCACTCCCAGGGCTGCTCCTCATTTTAAGCAAACCAGACACCTTCTCAAGCCTCCCAGCGACCAAGAAATAACCCTCTTCTCTCTCCCACTGGGGGAGCTGGCTTCCCGTCCCCTCCACCCCGCCCCCGTGGACCAAGTGCATCTCCATCCAGTCCCACCGTCGCTTGACAGCGTCACCTCGGCTGACTAGGAGAGGGAAAGGCCTGGTGGGAAGGGTCTTTTCTCTGCCCTCCTGCCCGTCCGTCCGTGCGTTTCTCGCGGGTGCTAATCGAATCGGTTCCAGTGTGAGCCAGCTTCCTAGTGTGGGAACCCCACGGCGCCGCTGGAGCCGGGTTACGGCCCCATTTACCTGTGTTTGCGTCAGTCCCAGGGAGGCAGCCAGCTCGGCGCGTTCCGGCAAGGCCAGGTACTGAGTCTTCTGAAACCTTCTTTGCAAGGCGGCCAGCTGAAAGCTGGAATAAATAGTCCTGGGTTTGCGAACTTTCTTTGGTTTGCCATTCACCATCCTCACCTCCGGCTCCGCTACTTCTTTCTCTAAATAATCAAAACAGAGCCAGTTAGAGCTTGTCGTTGGACACCAGTCCTCTCACAGAACCCTCAAATCCAATCCTGCGCTTCTTACTATACAGGCTCCACTCTCCATCAGCCCCCCAGGTTTACAAGACCAGTATAAACACGCCCCTGCCCCCCAAGCCTGGCAAGAGCAGGTCGACTCCAGTGAGTTTCCCCTCTGTTCATCGCCAGTCCAGTGAATTTGTTCTCAGCGCTACATACAGCTCCGCTACCTTCTGAGCGCGCGCAATTCAGCCCGTGCCCCACTTTGCTCAGATTTGTTTTCATGCCCATCTCGTGCTCACCGATTGTCGAGGAAGAATCCCCCCTCTCGGCCCCCTGTGACCTCGGATCGGCCAGCGTCTATTGGTCCGCCTGCACAGGCCAACCGCATGGGCAAGGGAGACGCAAACCAAGGTCTCCAAAGTTCAAAGACCCACAAGCAAACCGTGCTCCTTCACTTCAGCAGCCAGCGGTCAGGCCGCCGCAGACAGAGGGCCGATTATGCAGCCCCCATAATCTCTCTGCAGATCTGCGAGGGCCCAGATGTGTCTGGTTTCTTTTACAAATAGACTTAATACGTTCTTGGCCAAAAAGGAGAGGGGGGAAAACCTCGTCTATTTATGAACAACAGAGACAGTGAAAGAAACGAAGATCCCCCCCATCTCTTTAAAGTTTACCAGGACTCACATTGAGGAGTCGGTAGTGGTAGGAATGGGTGTCTTCGTAAGAAAAGGGCGGTAGGTCAAGAAAAAAAAATCCATCCACCCCCTCCCACCCCCCCTGGCGTACTGTCAGAGAGAAGACTTTGCTGAACGTGAAGTTTACAAACGTATCTGGGGACTAGAAGACCCTTTCCCTAAAAGCACCATTTTATTAGAAGCACCCATCCCCGGAATGGGCGGAGAGCCGCGGTCTGCGTCTGTGTGTGTGTGGCCAGCTCCGGGGAGAGGACGGGTGGAGGATAGGGCTGTGCGGCTGTGGTCGCGATGCTGCCCGAGTCGGGAAGCTAATATTAGCAGGATTATTCATGTGCTGGCGGGAAGAGATCAAACCCACCAGTAAAACCTCTCCACAGAGACCTCAGCCCTCTCTCCCCTCCCCGTCCAAGCTCACTAACCCTCAGACGCGCCAAGTGAGTTTCAAAGAGGACGAGAGTGGAGGAGGTGGTGGGGTGGTGAAGGACGACACATTTGACCTATCTAGGTCGGTAGAAGAAAACCCCAACAACTTGACCCCCTCGGCAACTCGACGCCCCCTTCACGCGGCTTTGTTGTTTTGGGAAAGGCCTCGGGTAAACCCCAGGCTCACGGAGTGCTCCCCTCGCCCTTCAGGGCTCCAGCTCCCACCCCCACCCGCACCCCACCCCACGGAGAGCTCCAGGCTCCCGCCGGAAGCAGGCTCGAGGCTGCTGGCAGACCAAACTGATGGAGCCGGAGGCAGCCTTCCACTCGCACTCGTACCACCAAGCACTGCAGCAAAAACAAACAACCTCCCTCCAGGAACCTTCCCTTTATGATGCAAACGCCCCCGGGGTGGTTCCTTGCTTTCTTCTTCCCCCCCCAAGCCTCGGTCCTGCCTAGCCGGATCCTGGCCCAGCGGTCCGGGAACCGGGCGTCCGGAGACTCTACCCCACCCCCAAGGTACCAGGGCGGAGAGACCCAAGTCGAACCCTGGTCCCCTCCTTCCACTAGAGGACTTAACTTCTACGAGGTTGGCCCGGGACTCCTGCTCGTGGCCGGGTCCGAGCTCCCCCTTCGGCCTGGGGCGCGCCCGTTGCCCAGTCTGCGTGCGCTTCACCGTCCACCCCTCTCCCTTCTCCCGGGTCGCCCCGTACCTGGCTGGCTGGCGGCGCTCGGGACTCGGTTGTAGGCACCGCCGTACTGGTGGTAGGGGCTGGCGTACCCGTAGTCAGCGTAGGTTTTGGCGGGGTAGCTCCCGGGCGCGCCGTTCACGCCGTGGTACTGGTACTGGTAGGGGTTCAGCGCTTTGCCGTAGGAAGCCGAGGTAGGAGAGCAGTAGCCATGCGGGGCTCCCCCCGGGGGGCTGTAGTAGTCGGAGTCGGTGGCTGACGACTCGGGCAAAGTTGGCGATTCCTGAGACGGATGGTGCATGGCTGCGGACGTCTGGAACGGAGCTTGGAAGTCGCCGGATCGGATGCTGGGGACCCTTCTGTCAAACACTCCTGTCATCGCTCGCAGGCGGAGGCTGTCCTGGCGGAGGCGACGGCGGCGGCGGTGGCGGCGGCTGCTGCCTGAGTTGCTGGTGGGGCTGCTCGGGTCTAAGCAGACATGGCTGTGGGAGCGAGGGAGGAGGAGGAGGAGGAAGAGGAGAAGGAGGAGGCGGCGGCGGTGGCTGCGGCAATGGAGAGGACTGGCACGAAGGCGACGGAGGTGCCCGCGGAGGCGGCCGGCACTCCGCGCTCAATACCCTGCGCTCTCCTGATTGCGTCACTCCTGACCTTTGCATTCTGGGGCGGTAGGATTTCGGCATCCAGCTCCATCTTTCTTATAAGCAGAGGTCTGGCTCACGGAAACTA